GCTGGGATTACAGGCATGCACCACCACACCTGGCTAATTTTTTTGTATTTTTAATAGGGACGGGGTTTCTCCATGTTGGTCAGGCTGGTCTCAAACTCCCGACCTCAGGTGATCTGCCCGCCTCAGCCTCCCAAAGTGCTGGGATTACAGGCGTGAGCCACCACGCCCAGCAACCTAAGTTATTTTTTAAATAAAATGGTAGCCAATTCCTTAAGGTAGTTGTTCTCAAAATGTGGGCCAGAAACAGCATCACCTGGGAACTTGTTAGAAATGCAAATTCAGAATTAGAACTCTGGGGATGAGGCCCAGCAATCTGTGTTTTAATAAACCTGCCAAGTGATTCTGATGCATCCTCAACTACTGTGTCAAGGTAGCATCTGAGCCTTCAAACATCACAAGAAACTCAGTAATTCCTAGTCTAAGACTATGGATTGGCCAGGCATGGTGGCTCATGCCTGTAATCCCAGCACTTTGGGAGGCCGAGGCGGTGGATCACCAGGTCAGGAGATCAAGACCATCCTGGCTAACATGGTGAAACCCTGTCTCTACTAAAAATACAAAAAAAAAAAAAAAAATTAGCTGGCCATGGTGGCGGACGCTTGTAATTCCAGCTACTCGAGAGGCTGAGGCAGGAGAATAGCGTGAACCCAGGAGGCGGTGCTTGCAGTGAGCCGAGATGGCGCCACTGCACTACAACCTGGGCGACGGTGTAAGACTCCATCTCAAAAAGAAAAAAAAAAAAGACTATGGATTTTGTAGGCTCTCACTGATTGATGAAAAGTAGATGTTATGATAGGACTTAGAAAAAAATGGGCTGTCCTCTTGCAAATATAAAGTTTGTGGAAAAAGTACATCTTCCTGATTCTTCTCTTCACAGGCAAGCAGATTTTCTATAGTTTAACTAGTTTCTCACGCTTAATATATAAACAATGCACACTGGAAAACACATAAGTTTCTCAGAAGGATGTCTTCATTTCCTATGTTGTTTTGAACAGCTCCATCTACTACTGAGGGTGCTCACCAGCTACCGTTGGGGAGGGACTCTGGCATGAGCTATTCTTTCAGCCCAGAATCCACAGCCTGTACTCTGGTGGAGAAAGGGAAAGTGAAGAGCTTACCAGGTCATAAAGGTACTTTGACTTGAAGGGCTGGAGTCATGATTAGAGAACTCCTGGAAATGAATGGAGCCAACTCCTAAAATACAGAATACATGACAATAGCTTCTCCTCTCTCCTTCCACCCGCACTCTCAGCTGCTGACTTTGCTTTCTCTTTCATGAAGAAATGGGAGCAACCAGAAAAGGATTTCCAGTGTTGCCATTACTACCACTCCCAGCCTACCTGTATCTGTACGTATATTCTCTGCTGCCTTCCTTCCCGTTAGTATAGAGGGGTCTCTGCCCCAGTCCAAGGCCAAGGCTTCTATTACTGCACTAGATCTTATCCGTGCTCACCTACTTGGGGACATCTTTCCAGCAAATGCTCCCACTCTCCCCTGCACATCAGTTTTTACCTTCTAATGAGTCATTCACATTAGCATACAAGCATGCTATATTTTCGCCCTTTAAAAAAAAATGAGAAAAAAAAAACTTGTTGGCCTTACACCCTAATCCATTTGCTGCATCATTTCTCTACTCCCTTTTGTAGCAAAGTTCCTCAGAAGAGTCATCTATAGCACTATCTCCAATTCTCCTTTTCCCATTCGCTATTTCATCCACTCCTCAAACCTTTTGTGCCCACCACTTCACCAAAACAACTTAGCAAGTTTCACTGTGATCTCCATGTCACTAAATCCAATGGTCAGGTCACCGGCCTAATCTTACTTGGTTTATCAGTCTCATTTGATACAGTTGATTACTCCTTCCTCCTTGAAACATTTTATTGTTGTTGTTTCCAGAACAATACACCACCCTTAGGATTTCAAAGATATGTATAATCCTTGCCCTAGGTTTGTGGGAAGACTTGGGCAACAGTCAAGGGCTTCTGTACCTCCAGAGTCTCACATAACTTTGTTTATGGCAGTACTTGGCATACATAGAAAATGGTAATATTTGCCCAGTACTCTGGAATAACAGGACAATACTGCTCCCAACAGAAGGGGACCCACCTAGCCAACCCCATAGCCTGTGGCAGGAGTGGACAGTGTATGCATTACATGGGTCCAGTTTATGCCTTCATATAAAGCAATTCCACCTGTTTTCCTGTCCTATAACAATACAGTAATTTGGTCGGGCACAGTGGCTTACACCTGTAATCCCAGCACTTTGGGAGGATGAGGCAGGCAGATCACGAGGTCAGGAGATCAAGACCATCCTGGCTAACACGGTGAAACTCCGTCTCTGCTAAAAATACAAACAATTAGCTGGGCGTGATGGCAGGTGCCTGTAGTCCCAGCTACTCAGGAAGCTGAGGCAGGAGAATGGTGTGAACCCGGGAGGTGGAGATTGCAGTGAGCCAAGATCGCGCCACTGCACTCCAGCCTGGGCAACAGAGCGAGACTCTGTCTCAAAAAAATAATAATAATAATAATACATAAAGAAATTTAATAACTTCAGTAACAGACCTCTCTGTCACCTGAATTTGGTCTAAAAGCTCAACTTTATTCTTACATTCTCTTTTTCTTAGAGCTATAAAGATGAACTCTTTCAGTTCAAGGACTATTGTGTATCCCTTTTATATGACCCACAGCAGCTAGCACACTAGTGAACACAAAGTATGTTCTAAAGAACACGTCACACTGAAATCCTGCTCTGAATATTATTGCTTCAGAGATATTAAGAAGTCATTTCTTAATCACCACCTTATCTTCAGTCAGCAATTTGATTCTACCAATCAAAAGAAGTTAGATATATCTTACTTTAAAATAGTCACCACAAAAATGCAAAACCTCCCTCATTCATTCACACATTCCTGTACTGCAAGTCCTTCCTCACATTTAACACAGTGGTACCCCATGTGTTTTAAGCCTACTTTGTCTTGATTTGTCCTTGAAATGGAAGGAGGGAAAGAGTCACTCATCAATACTCTACGTAACAATATGAGCTGATTATCATGATGTCCTCCCAATATCATTGGATTGTAGATGCCATTAAAGTTTTCCACTGTAGTTGCTATAGAAACAATGAAGAGTAGCAAGGACAGGTTCAGGCATAATGCTTCTCAGAGAAAAAAAAACGGTGTTTCAGAAAACAAAGGCCTAACCTCACCTTAGGAAAAGCCTCAAAAGTTGGCAAGGCCACTCGACAAGAAAAGGAATTCATTTGATACACAGGGTTACCTTCTTTGATTCTTATGTTGCTTTGCTTCATTTGTAATGTATTGACAGCAAAGAACAAGAAACAATCGGCCAAGGTTGGAAACACAGAGGCTTTTATTACTGTGGGAGTCTTTATCTTATGTAGTGGTAGAAAATAAACCTGGGATGATTACTGCTCTCTCTTAATGCTGGTACCCTAAAAATAAACATACTCTAGATGATGGGATGAAAAATGGGAACTTTTAAAGTTTGAGTAATCAGGGAAGAGCTCAAAAGGATCTACACTCCCAGATAACCACTTACATGTCATTTGCCTCTGCAACTTTCCTCAAAAATAAGCTAGCCCTTCATAAACACAAGCAATGATTGAAGAAGTTTATTGTGGAAAACATTCAGGCTGGAAACTCAGTTTTCATACTCAACTATCATCCAAAAAAAGAAATCAATCCATCAGCTGTGGAACCCACCTTATGTCCCAAATCCCTTTGTGGAAAGATCTGTCCAGCAGCCTAGGAATCAGGAAAAGTCATTCCCCCAAAAAGTGAGGCAGGAAAAAAAAATGGGAAAAAGAGAAGGCAGAAATCTCTAAAGGCTAGTTGTATTAATTTCAAACAGGAGAAAAAAAGATTTGTTTAACTCAAGTGATTTTGGAAGGCAGAGTGGGATTCAAATGTTACTGCACATTGCATTGGAAAATTCCAATCTAACAGTCCCTTTGTGAGCGATCATTCTCCTTTTCTAGGAACTTAGGAAATCATTCTCAGCCTTGCAACTTAAAATATGGTAGGTGGATCAGTAGCATCCAGAATACTCAGGAGCTTTTCAGAAATGTGCAATTTCTGAAAAAGATGGCGGATTAGAAGCAGCAGCCGTCTGCAGCACTCATGGAAATGAGTGAAAGGTGTGAGTGAATACAACACCTTCAACTGAAATATCCAGGTTCTCCCTTTGGGACTAATTAGGCAAACAACTTGACCCACAGAAAACAAAGAAAAGCAGGGTGGGGCGACTGCACCTGGGAGCAGCACAGAGCCGAATGAACCCCCACCTCCAGCCAAGAGAAGCGGTGAGGAATTGGGCAACCGCACCCGGGAAACCACGTTTCTGCACAGGTCTTTGCAACCCATGGACAGGAGATCCCCTTGTGAGTCCATGCCACCGGAGCCTTCGGTCCAACACACAGCGCTGTGCGGAGTCTTAGCAGAGCAGCCACTCGGGCACACACAGAGACCCAGCAGTTTGTTTCTTTGCTCATTTGTTTGTTTTTGAAACGGAGTCTCGCTCTGTCATCCAGGCTGGAGTAGAGTGGCGCGATCTCGGCTCACTGCAAGCTCCGCCTCCCGGGTTCCCGCCATTCTCCTGACTCAGCCTCCCAAGTAGCTGGGACTATAGGTGCCCGCCACCACGCCTGGCTAATTTTTGTATTTTTAATACAGAAGAGGTTTCACCGTGTTAGCCAGGATGGGCTGGATCTCCTGACCTCATGATCCACCCGTGTCGGCCTCCCTAAGTGCTGGGATTACAGGCGTGAGCCACCACGCCCGGCAGAGACCTGGCAGTTTTACATACTCCAACCCTGCGATCCCTGGCAAGGCGGGAGGTCCATCTGCACATACCCCTAGGAAGAGAGCTGAAACCAGGGAGCCAAGCAGCATCTTTCTGCAGGCCCCACTTCCCCGGCACCTCACAAGGTAAGACCCACTGACTTGGAATTCCAGCCAGCCAACAGTAAAAGCTGGAGTCTGCCTGAGATAGAATCGAGCTCCCAGCGGGAGCATGACTATTATCTCTGTGGTTCTGTTGACTTAGCTATTCTAGCTTGCGGCTTTGGAGAGTCCAAATAGTCCAGACAAGGAAAGGTCCCTCCCAGCGCAGCACAGCTGCTTTGTCAGATGGTGGCCAGACTGCTTGTTTTGTCTTGTTTGATTTTGTTTTTGGAGATAGAGTCTCACTTTGTCACCCAGGCTGTAGTGTAATGGTGCAATCTCGGCTCACTGCAACCTCTGCCTCCTAAGCTCCAGTAATCCTCCCACCTCAGCCTCCCACACCCTGTTTCCCAGGATGAGGCGCTCTCCACACCAGATCCAGGAAATAAGAGGTCAAAGGGTGCGTGGGAGAAGGGATGGGGTCAAAAACAATAGGACCAAGTGAGTGGAGTAGCTGGGACTACAGACACACATCACCATGCCCAGCGTGTGTGTGTGTGTGTGTGTGTGTGTGTTAGAGACGGGATTTCACCCTGTTGCCCAGGCTGGTCTCAAACTCCTGAGCTCAAGCAATCCACTAGCCTCAGCTTTCCAAAGTGCTAGGATTACAGGCATGAGCCAGCACGCCCGGCCAGACTGCGTCTTTCAGCAGGACCTGTATTCATTCCTCCTCACTGGGTGGGATCTCCCTGTGGGAGCTTCAACTGCTCCAGCCAGAGTTATATGGACAGAGCTCTGATCTTTCCCTGCGATGGAGCTCCCAGAGGGAGGGGCAGCCGCCATCTCCGTGGTTTGGTTGACTCAGTTGTTCCAGCCTGCTGGCTTTGGAGAGTCCAAATGGTCCTGACAAGGAAGGGTGCCCCCCAACAGAGCACAGCTGCTTTGCCAGATCATGGCCAGGCTGCTTCTTTAAGCGGGACCTAGATCCATTCCGCCTCACTGGGCAGGACCTCCCTGCGGGGATTTCAGCCACTCTAGCCAGGGTTATACAGACAGAGCTCTGATCTCTCCCTGGGATGGAGCTCCCAGGAGGAGGGGCAGCTGCCATCTCTACAGTTTGGTTGACTCAGCCATTCCAGCATGCTGGCTTGTCCAGAGTCCAGTCTGGACAAGGAACAGTCCCCCCACAATGCAGCACACCTGCTCTACCAAAAGGCAGCCAGACTGCTTCTTTAAGCAGGTCCCTGATCCCATTCCTCCTGATTGAGACCTCCCAACAGGGGTCTGCAGCCTAGGTGTGTCTGGGCCAGCAACAGGTCAGTATCCCCCGGGGATGGAGCCTCCAGAGGAGGGAGCAGGCTGCCACCTGTGCTATTCTGCATACCTGGTGGTATGTGTTGGAGCATACCACTAGGTATGAGAAAAACCGAGGTGACTAGGGTCTGGAGTGGACCCACAGCAAACTGCAGCAACCCTATGGAAGAGTTGTCTGACTGTTAAAAGAAAAACAAACAAACAGAAAACAACAACATCAACAAAAAAGACCCCACAGAAACCTATTTCAAGGTCAGTAACCTCAAAGATCAAAGGTAGATAAGCCCATAAAGATGAGACAGATTGAACACAAAAATGCTGAAAACTCAAAAAGACAGAGTGCTTCTCCTCCTCCAAATGACTGCACACCTCTCCAGCAAGGGCACAAAACTGGGCTGAGGCTAGGATGGCTGAATTGACAGAACTAGGCTTCTGAAAGTCGGTAATAACAAACTTTGCTGAGCTAAAGGACCATGTTGTAACCCAATGCAAGGAAGCTATGAATCATGGTAAAACAATGCAGGAGCTGACAGCCAGAGTAGCCAGTTTAGAGAGGAACATAACAGACCTGATGGAGCTGAAAAACACACTATGAGAACTTTACAATGCAATCACAAGTATCAATAGCAGAATAGACCAGTGGAGAAAAGAATCTCAGAGTTTGAAGACTATCTTTCTGAAGTAAGACAGGCATACAAGAATAAAGGGAAAAAGAATGAAAAGGAAAGAGCAAACCTCTGAGAAATATGGGATTATGTAAAGCCAAACCTATGGCTGATTGGGGTACCTGAAAGAGATGGAGAGAATAGAACTGAGCTGGAAAACATACTTCAGGATATCATTCAGGAGAATTTCCCCAGCCTAGCAAGGTAGACCAAAGTTGAAATTGAAAAAATGCAGAGAACTCCAGTAAGATACTCCACAAGAAGACCAACCCCAAAACACACATCAGATTCTCCAAGGTTGAAATGAAAGAAAAAATGTTAAGGGCAGCCAGAGAGAAGGGCCAGGTCACTTACAAAAGGAACCCCACGAGACTAACAGTAGGCCTCTCAGTGGAAATCCTACAAACCAGAAGAGATTAGGACGAATAATCAACATTCTTTTTTTTTTTTTTTTTTTTGAGACAGGGTCTCACTCCATCACCCAGGCTGGAGTGCAGTGGCACGATCTCAGCTCACTGCAACCTCTGCCTCCTGGGTTCAAGCAATTTTCTCCTCTCAGCCTCCCAAGTAGCTGGGACTACAGGGCTACAGGCACCTGCCATCACAGCCAGCTAATTTTTGTATTTTTAGTAGAGATGGAGTTTCACCTTGTTGGTCAGGTTTGTCTTGAACTCCTGACCTCAGGTGATCTACCCACCTCGGCCTCCCAAAGTGCTGGGATTACAGGTGTGAGCCACTGTGCCTGGCCTCAACATTCTTAAAGAAAAGAATGTCCAGACCAGAATTTCAGATCCAGCCAAAGTAAGCTTTATAAGTGAAGGAGAAATAAGATCCTTTGCAGACAAGCAAATGCTGAGGGAATTTGTCACCATCAGACCTGCCTTGCAAGAGCTCCTGAAGCTTCCATATTAAGCACTAAATATGGAAATATGGAAAGGAAAACCAGACACTACAAAAACACACTGAAGTACACAGACCAATGACATTATGAAGCAACCACATAAAAATGTCTGCAAAATAACTAGCTAGCATCATGATGACAGGATCAAATTCACACATAACCACACTAACCTGAAACATAAATAGGCTAAATGCCCCAATTAAAAGACACAGAATGACAAGCTGGATAAAGTGCCAAGACCCATCAGTATGCTGTCTTCAAGAGACTCATCTCATATGTGAAGACACACATAGGCTCAAAATAAAGGGATGGAGAAAATTTTACCAAACAAATGGAAAACAGAAAAAAGTAGGGGTTGCCATCCTAGTTTCTGACAAAACAGACTTTAAACCAACAAGATCAAAAACGAGAAAGAAGGGCATTACATAATGGTAAAGTGTTCAGTTCAACAAGAAGAGCTAACTATCCTAAATATATATGCACCCAAAACAGGAGCACCCAGATTCATAAAACAAGTTCTGAGAGACCTACAAAGAGACTTAGATTCCCAAACAATAATAGTGGGAGACTTTAACACCCCACCAACTATATTAGACAGATCATTGAGAGAGAAAATTAACAATGATATTCAGGACCTGAACTCAGTTCTGAATGAAGTGGACCTGATAGATATTTACAGAACTCTCCACCCCAAAACAACAGAATAAACATTCTTCTCATCACCCACAGAACTTACTCTAAAACTGATTACATAATCAGAAGTAAAACACTCCTCAACAAATACAAAAGAACTGAAATAATAACAGTCTCTCAGACCACAGTGCAATCAAATTAAAACTCAAGATTAAGAAATTCAGTCACAACCACACAACTACATGGAAACTGAACAACCTACTCCTGAATGACTCTTAGGCAAATAATGAAATTAAGACAGAAATCAAGAAGTTCTTTGAAACTGAAACAAAGGGACAAAGTACAAGAATTTCTGGGATGCAGCTAAAGCTTTGTTAAGAGGGAAATTTATAGCACTAAATGCTCATATTGAAAAGCTAGAAAGATCTCAAGTTAAAACCTAACATCACAACAAAAAGAACTATAGAATCTAGAGCAAACAAACTCCAAAGCTAGAAGATGACAAGAAATAACTAAGATCAGAGTTGAACTGAGGGAGACAGAGATGAGAAAAACACTTTTAAAAATCAACAAATCTAGGAGCTGGTTTTTGAAAATAGATAAAATAGATAAACCACTAGCTAGACTAACAAAGAAGAAAAGAGAGAAGAATCAAATAAATACAATCAGAAATGATAAGGGAGAAATCACCATTCACCCCACAGAAATCCAAACAATCATCAGAGAATACTACAAACACTTCTATGCACGTAAACTAGAAAATCTAGACAAAATTGATAAATTCCTGAATGCATACACCCTCCCAAGACTAAATCAAGAAGAAACTGAATCCCTGAATAGACCAATAATGAGTTCTGAAATTGAGGCACTAATAGCCTACCAACAACAACAACAAAAAAAAAACCCA